AATGTAAAAATAAAATGTCTTCCCTGTATTGTATTTTAAATTATTATATCTCATCAAAAAATTAAAAAATCATACCGAAACTTAACGAAATGCATTTTACACTCAAAAAAGTGATCTTGCAGTTATAGCGAAAATTATCTAAGTACGAAAAATTAGCTAAAAGAATAAAATGTCTTCCTTGTATTGTATTTTAAATTATTATATCTCAAAATTAAAAAATCATACCGAAACTTAACGAAATGCATTTTACACTTAAAAAAGTGATCTTGCAGTTATAGCGAAAATTATCTAAGTACGAAAAATTAGCTAAAATAGATAAATTTCAAGTACTGCGATATTGGATATGTATTGCATTTAATCATATAGATGATAGAGATAGAATTTAGATTTGTGCTACAAATTCTATGCGTATGATACATAATTTTCTATTAGATACAAAAAACAGCGATAATTCTAGCCGGAGTAGCAAAATATTTTTTTGCATGTAAAGCTAGAAATTAATGCTTTCGCGTGGCATTAACAAAATTTAGAAAAAAATTGATGTTGATGTTATAAAACGTCATATACTCTCAAAATCGATATTTTTGTCTCGTTTCTCAAAATTGTGTTATCCAAATTTCGACGGATTTGTATGTTTGTATACAGCAGGCAAAAATATATTGGAAATGAATATTCATACTCGTGTTGCAAGAAAAAGTGAAAATTTACCAGAGAGCATAATTATTCAACTATTTCAATGCAAGGCAATTTATTTAGTAACATACTGCACAAAAGCGTCGTTATCAAAGTTCTTTCAGATTTATGTCTTTCTTCATGCGGGAAAATCGACATTTTACTGACAAGTATCGCTCAGAGGAAAAACCATTTAACACTTTGACGCGTCAGGAAAATACAGAGTTTATCGGTCACTGACCGAAGACGATCTATGATTATGCTTCACGCGTAAGGAATAATAGCGTTAATAAAATATGTATAATAGATAAAGACCATAACATGTGAAGTTCGTTATCTTTATTATGCTTAATTAAAATATTGTTGTTTAATTATCATAAATTAAACTAATCTTTCGAGAAATACGTTTCTATTATGGCTCAAAAATAATTTAAAGCTGTTTTATTTACCACACGAAACCGTTTCGCATTTCTTTACGCGTAATCAAATGGTTTAATTTACATTTACGTAATACTATTTAATCCTTTTATGCTCGTTTCTACTAATGTAAATTAACTTTAATTTCGGTAATCCGGTAATAAAAATGAGCTTACTATCTCTTCATCTGAGGTAACTCCGGTATACGCCGCGCTGAGATTTATGCCTCGGAAGTCAGAACAAATAGAAGGAGTGGGGGTAATTTTCTCGCAACTACTCTGTTACATGCCTTTATGTTATATTTTTTAATTATAATTTCAGCTTTTTACTGTTAATCCTTACCATACCATCTACAATTTGGTGCCTCATCCATACCATCAAGGGTCTCTTCAAATCTCTTCGTTTTTTCACCTCTTCAAAATAATAAAAAAAATCTCTAAAAATTCACCAACATACTTTCAACTTTCTAGAATAAATGTTGACTCTTTATTTTGGAAAATAATAAAATGTATTATAATTTATAATTATAATTACCGAAAGACTCAAAAAAACTTGCACGAACAGGAATCGCTCGGTCACTAGTTACCGACATTAGTACGGTAAGAGTTAATATCAATGAAATTATTGTGAGTTGAATCGATTTGTCACTGTGTGTGTAACAAGTATATCATCATCATAAATTATAATCTACATAAAATGATTACCGTAAGGCGTGTAAAAGACCTAGTGGTTATTTCGTGATACATACATGTAGAGGAATAGTAAAGCATGTTGTATAGAGCAAAATACAAGTGCTTTGCTTTCGTATTCTTTGTTCAGTTTGTTGAAACCCTTGCATTTTTGCCATATATCCCACCCATCATCTACATATAGCAAAAATGCAAAATTTCAAAAAGTTTATTTTTTAATACGAAAACTAAATATTTCGGTGAAACACCGAAGCGTCGGCAACCGCGAAAATATTAAAAAAGTGAAAAATAATACCTATATATGTAATGTTTATTTATGTGAAATATATGCACGTACCTATATAAAATATGTATAATACGGTACCAACTGTGAAAATGCTGTATTTGGTGAGAATCTTGGTGATTCAATTTACCAAATGATTTATTAGAATATTTCTAATATTTTTGCATAGTTCAGAATCAGAAATGATTCTACTGATCAAAGGATTGAAGGAAGTGGCTGATAAAAAATCTCCCGTTCACTGCCAAGAGTATCATGAATCACGTGTGCTGTATATTATCCTGAGGCATTTTCCAGAATGTGATATATACATAGCGTGATAACGGGATGATAAGGCTATCCGCGTGACTGAAGATCATTGTAAAGAGTAATTAGATTCAATAATTAAAATTCCAATACAGGAAAGTGCAAAGTCGAAATATCGGTTTGCCGATCTACAGTTTGCGTCGAACTTTGAAATAAAATTCTATTTGGAACTTCTCATATTTTTCTTCCCTCGTATATATGTGCATATATATACATATATATTTCAGTATATGTTTTATATACATTACTTATATATAAATAATATAACTTTAATTTACTTATATATGCTTACTTTTATATATAAATTAAATAAAAGTTTATTTTATATTTTGATTGTCCAAATATTTTTTATATTATATATATAAAATTGCAAAATGATAAATAAAACTCTTCGCGGAAAAACCAGTTTCTTGCTAAAAAGTATCTAAAAATTTAGCTAGATACAAATACAGCTCTAAAAATAAACTTTGGACTATCTGAATAATTATGTAGGAATTCAAACTGGTTTCTAGAATGTTAAAATTTTTTTCAGCATTGCTTATTATGCTTGATTTACGTACATTAGTTATTTTGATAGTCCAACAAAATTTTCAGATCTGTTCTGTTTGAGAAATAAACCCTCGAGTCTCTTATATTGTAATTATTTTTATCACATCGAGGCTTGGTTGAATGTAATTAAAACAAACATTAATTACATTTGTAATTATTGCGATAAATGTTTCCTTCAACATGCAAATGATGATCAAAAATTCCTACGTCACAGGCGATGTAACGAAGTGTTCCGCATTAAAAATGCTCCGCGAGGACAATGAAACAGGTGCAAGGCTAAACCATGGACTTTGTATGCGCTTTACATCGACACGATTACTTTGGATGACTTATGTCACAACATTTATCACACGTTATTACGAAACCATTGTTCGTGATGACACGACAAATAAACGTTTCGTCGATAAAACTTTACTTCAATATACAAATCGGTTTACATTAATGAGTCACAGTGAACTATGTATTGAGAAAAAGTAATGAAGAGATAAAATAAGAGAAAGAAACTGTTAATTTTTAATCGACATATGAAGGAATATTGACAAATAATTGCGATTACAAAGAGGCCGTTGTCATTTTCTTAAACGCGCGAAATGTTGCAACTTGTAAGAAACAATACGCGTTATGTAAATCCGATTAACGCGTGCGTCAAGGCGAAATGGCAAAAAGTTTCCTCGATACATTTAATGGAGTCGCGTCGCCTGATAAGCGTTTGTGTCAATCGTGAATAATGCAAAGCGCGAGCGGCATTTCCAATGAATTTTTAGGAGTGAGATCTAGATAGTAGGAATCATGCTGCTCGTCATGTAATCGTGTAAATCGTGACATCAACGCACGGTGAGAATGTCTTGGAAAATTATACATACAGTGTGAGTGTAAAAAATATTCATACAAAATTGTTTTATAAGAAAGCCTTGTTTATAGAAAGTAAACATTAATTAGCAATTTTATACGATGAATATATTCTGACATATACATAAAACAAACAAGCTCCACTGTATTAAATATTAAATTCCTGACTTTAGGAGCTATTTCTTGACTGTACGAATACTTTTTGAGCGTTCAAACAATATAATTTTTAATTTTTGCTTATATTTTTAAGATGATACATTTTCTATAATTAATAGACATTTTTTTTGGTATAGATATAATTTTGAGAAACATACAGTCTACTTTATTCTTTATGAATAAATTGTTAATTTCTCAGCAAGAAATGGCCGTCAATTAAACGTCGAATTGACCTTGAATT